GCAACACTGCTGATTGTTGTGGTCATCGAAGGTATATTATATTTATATGAATTTTATAATGTTATATTTATTAGGGCTTTTATTGGACTTACTGCACATTGGCTGGATCCGTTAACTCTCAAGAGAAGGTCAGCCGCTTTGGCACTGAGGAGGATAATTGGGAGGCAAACATATGATGTTTTGGCCTACGAAATCATGGGTATCCACCAGTTCTATAAAATTCATAATAAGGTGGTGAAGATGGTGACTGACAATGGAACCAACTTTGTCAAGGCATTTAAGTAATATTTATATTTAGCAAAAAATATTTAAACAAATTTATTTTTTCTAGAGTTTTTGGAGAAAATGAAGAAGATAGCAGTGAGGATATGGAATTGATAAATTTAGATGACATATTATCAGTTGATGACCCAATTATTCGTACTATCAGCCTACCAAAACATCAACGTTGTTGTTGCCATAATCTTAACCTTATTGCAACAACAGATGCGGAGATGGCAGATAGTGATCTCAATTATAAACGAATATCTAGATCCACTTTTGCAAAATGTTTTGCTTTAGTTAATAAACAAAATATGTCGTCAAAAATGGCGGATATTTAATAGCTCCCAACAAGACAAGATGGAATTCTTATTACCAATCCATGAAATTAATAGATAAGATGCTTTCTGAAAAGTTTTCAGAAGTAGAACAAGTATGTGATCAAATTGGATTTGCAATGTTTAGGCAAGAGGAATGTTTTTTTGTTAAAGAGTATGCAAGAGTAATACAATGATATTCTCTAAATAAATTTAAATTTTATAGGTTATGGAACCTTTGGCGATCTCGTTAAAAATCTTGGAACGGGAGGATAATATGGAGCAGGGAATCTAACTCCCGTTCTATCGATATTGATAGATAAATTAACGAAATTTAGCTGCCTGCGGTATTGTCAGCTCCTTGTAGATAGTGTTCTTTGTATATTAAGTATTAAGTTAAATTTAATCAATATTTATGATATGACCCAAATGTAAATAAATACCATACAGATGATGTGCCAGACTTGACTGTAAAATTTAAAAGGGTTAAGTTTTGCAGATACTTGATTTGATTTATATGAATAAAATGAACACTTATTTAATAATAAATTAAATTATCATTTCATAATATAGATTTTCTTCACTGTATGAAGACTGTAACATTTTGGCAGCCATGATTCACCCTAAATTTAAACTTAATTGGCCTTATATTAATATGCCACAAAATATGATGGTAAAAGAAAGATTAGTTGCCCATTTATAAAATATGCAGGAACAACCATATGCGGATACCTCAAATGAATGTATGGATGACATTGATGCTTTTTTTGGGAAAAATACTGTACAAAATGCTTGTTCCGTTAAATTTTTTTTATTCAAATGATGATTCCATGAATATTTTTAATACTTATATTAATTTAAAAAAAATATTTATTGAATATAATACACCTTTGCCATCAAGCGCTCCTGTGGAGTGCTTGTTTAGTAAAGCTAAACATGTCTAAATGAAAGACGTGGATGTTTAAATGATGATAATTTAGAAAAATTTTTATTATTAAAAGCTAATTTTAATTATAAATAAATATATTATAATTGTTATATTTATTATTCAATTACAATAAATTTCTACCATATTTAATTTATTTTTATATTAGTTAATTTTGCATCGGTTATATTATATTATTATTCAATTACAATAAATTTATAACATATATTAGTTAATTTTGCATCGGTCAGAAATTTCCTTCAGAAATTTAAATAGAAAAATAGGTCGATCCTGGATTTCGATCCTCATTTTTTGAAAAGATCGTGATCGGGATTCGATCGTTTTAAAAAGATTGGTTAACAAGCCTGCTGGCATGACATATTTTATATTTGAGTAACCATTAGCTCGGCCTCTAATGTTGTTAAAGCATTCCGATTTCTCTCCTTTTTCCCAGCAGACCTCATCAGGCTAAAAAAGCGCTCGGATGAGTGTAAATAAGGTTAAACAATTTTGTTAAATATTTTATTATTCTATCATGTCTAAAAACATAGTATATATATATAAAAAAAGTTAATTGAAAAATATATAATATCACGTTTTTGTGAATAGTTAAATTATATCAAACACATCAATTTATAATATAAGATTAACTATTCAAATTTAAGATTAATTCTTTAAATTTATATATGATCAATCAACATTCCCCCTCTTCTACAAAGAACAAAGCTTCTTCTCAACAGTCATCGAGAGCTTGTTGTCCTATAAGTTTTTTCCCGTTTCGATTGTATTCGATTTCTTCTTGGTTAGCGCATAAGTCTCAAATGTTCTCGTAGGCTTGATTCTATCACGTAGGTTTGATAAAATCGTTTATTAGAGTTGCGTGAGTTTGTACGTTTTTTTGTAGGCTTGATATCCTTATCGTATGTTGTTCACATTTCTCAAAATTGTTATCATCATTAATCCAGTTGAATATTGGAATTTGGAATAAATCGGAATATGTAATTTGGAATAGTTGATCAAATCAAATATATAAATAATATGCACGAATAAAATTTTGAATTTCGGAACAATAAAATATGTAATAAGGAATGATAATTTATGGAATAAGGAATAAAATAAGGAATAATAAATCATAATGATTATTACATTATTTTTTAGGTGTTAGGTTAATCATAGCGTTTTATACTTTTAGCGTTTTATACTTTTAGCGTTTTATACTTTTAGCGTTTTATACTTTTAGCGTTTTATACTTTTAGCGTTTTATACTTTATGCGTTTTATATTTTTAGCGTTTTATATTTTTTGCGTTTTACATTTTTTGCGTTTTACATTTTTTGCGTTTTACATTTTTTAGCGTTTCAATATTTGATTAGTAGCGTTTTAATATTTAATTTAATTTATTTTTATTTATTTTTAATCTCCGAGGTTAAAATATGCAAATATTATGCACATTTCCCTCTCTTAAAAAAAAATTTAAATTTCACACAATATTTTTCTAAAATAATGATGTTTAATTTTTACATAACCTTTTGTCTTCAAAAGCTTTATTCCAAAAACATTTCTATCATATTAAGTATTACTTATAAGGGTTATTTAAATCAATCCCTTTTAATTCATATGTTTTAATTACACTTTAATATATTTAAAATTAAAGTTTTATCTTCTTGTTTAGAATTTATAATGGTTTATATTTAATTATATCTAAGAATTCATTTTTAGGATTAGTTGTTAATTTACACAATTGGTCATCCTTCAAGAAATCAAAAAATAATATTTCACTAAGAATTTAAGTAAATAATTTTTTAAAGGCTTTTTGTGTGTTCAAATATATCCATTATGATTTTACATTTTAGTGATTTTAAAAATTTATAACATGCCTTTATCCTGGCATAAAATTTTAATTTTTAATAACTTTTCTTCTTACGTGGATTATAATAATAAGTAATCATTTGGTCTCACAAAATAGAATTCATAACCTATCGTTCAACTTCCATATCAGTTCTTCCTAGGTTGTCACATTAGGTTAGGTGCTGGTTATCATATTCCAGTCCAACATCCAGAGCCGGGACACCATGAAGAAAGAAGTTTTGCATGAAAGAACGTGCTAAGGTTTGATTCTTGGTAATCTCCATAGATTAAGCAATCCACACAATAGGTAGTCAATAGGTAGTCATATAAATAGAGTCATCTCAATGGATTAAACAATCGTCACAATAGGTAGTCACCACAAAGGTAGTCATATAAATAGTCATCTCATTGGAATAAGCAATCGTCACAATAGGTAGTCACCACAATAGGTAGTCATATAAATAGAGTCATCTCAATGGATTAAGCAATCGTCACAATAGGTAGTCATATTAATAGAGTCATCTCAATGGATTAAGCAATCGTCACAATAGATAAGATAGTCATAATAGATAAGGTAGTGAATAATATTTGATTCTTTTATAATTTTGTAAATTTGGATAAAATTTTGACTATCTAAAAGAAAAGTCAAAAATATTTATTTGTCCTTATATCATCTCCAATATCGAACGACGAATTTGATAAGTAATTCGTTTACTTTTTATTTTTACAAAAGAAATCAAGGTAAGGATATTTTTTTAATTTTTTTAAACTTTTATTATTTACTTTATTTTATTTTTTTAAAGAGAAAGAAAAACGAAAAACGTACCACCGTTACAGGGGCACCATGTAATAAGGTAAAACAATTTTGTTAAATATTTTATTATTCTATCATGTCTAAAAACATAGTATATATATAAAAAAAGTTAATTAAAAAATATATAATATCACGTTTTTGTGAATAGTTAAATTATATCAAACACATCAATTTATAATATAAGATTAACTATTCAAATTTAAGATTAATTCTTTAAATTTATATATGATCAATCAACAATGAGGCATTAGAATGAGGTAAGGAGAAGACATACTCGCATATTTTTCCCAAGCATGGGGAAATTATACGCATTTTTCCTCTGCTTTTAGACCATCTAACTTTAAGTATTTTGGCGAATCATAAAAAATAGAGAGGATTACAATCTCCTCAAACAAGAAATCAATGTCTTTCGGTATTTTTAATATATTTATTAAATTATAAAAACCATCAATTGATGGTTTCTGTTCCAAGGTCATAATATTTATACATTTGTCAATAGAGTTATTAAAATCAAATTTTGATTGTAAATATTCTAAATTTGATCTAATTGTTACAGTATAAAATATTCTTGATTGCTGATATAAAAAAAATTTGCGTCTAAAAATTACAAGTGATAAAAAAGATAATATATTCATACATATGCCACAATTGATAAATGCAATAATATAATTCTTAGCAACTTACATTGACAAAAGGTTATGAAACTAATATAAATCTTTGTTACCATTTTAGACTTTGTTCATAGATTGAATTATTTATAATTTTAATATATCTAACTTATATCGAATATCATATCAAAAATTTATAAAATCACATGAGCTTTGACAGGATCAATCGTACTTTTAGAAATTGCAGTACGATTAAATTTTCAAGACTGGAATTTAGATTAAATCTTTACACCAATATCAACCTAGCAATAAATGTCTTTTACCCCCAATTTACCTGTATCTTATTTGATAAGATCAGCCACACAAGATGATGGTAATACTCGTAAATCAAGGGAAGAATGGAAAAAATTAAAAGAATTAGAAGAAGCTAGGAAACAAGGAAATGTACCAGCTCAAACGGATGAACAGGGACGGTAATAATTTACAATATGAATACCACGTAATCAATTTTTTTAGTGACATAAATCCTCATATCCCTCAATATATTGCCCAAGCACCCTGGTATTTTGGTTCTGCCACAGCTACTTTACAACATCAAAGAGAGCAAGAAGAAAAAATCAAAGAATATCACAAAATTGATACATGGTACCAGAAAGGAATTATATCTGTAATGATATACTTTGATAATGCATATTAATAAAACAAAATTTAGGAAAAACCAAAAAAATTTAGAAAAGGGGCTTGTGAAAATTGTGGTTCTATGACACATAAAAAAAAAGATTGCGTTGAGGTAAATGATAAATTATATTTGCTATATACTATTTAATTTAGCGGCCTAGAAAAATTGGAGCCAAATTTTCAAAAAAGGATTTAGCACCTGATGAAGTTATTATACCTCCTCCATTAGAGAGTGATTATGATGGAAAACGAGATAGATGGAATGGATATGACCCATCAGAATATGCAACAGTTGTGAAGGAATTTTCAAAAATAGAAGAGGTGATAACATCTTATATTTATATAATTTATTATATATATATCCATCTTTCAATATAACTAATTAAACTTAGGTCAAAAAACTCATCAAAGCTCAAAAATTAGAATCAGAGTTGACTCAAATAAATGGTACTAATGAGGAAGAAATAAATGATGATAAAAATGCAAAAGAAACCATCATAAATGCAGTGACTCTCATTGCCGATGAAATTGATGAAGATTTGGAGGATGAGGATAAATATGCAGATAGTTTTGATATGCCTGGGACAAAACATGACAGCAAACAAAGAATTACAGTCAGAAATTTAAGGATACGTGAGGACACTGCTAAAGTTAGCTTTCAATTTAATTTGTTGTTACTTTTCTTTATCTGTGAAAATTTATTTAACAATAACTTTTTCTATATGAACTTTTTCAAATATAATTATAGATATTGACTGATTAGGGGCTACATGTTCAATTATTTTGAAAATAATATCTTTTACCTAATAGTGATAATATTTAAAAAATGTAATATTAGATTATTAGACATTTATAAATTTTGTATTTTCAATATTTTTATATTTTCAAAAATTCAAGTATTTGTACAATTTAGACCTGAACTCAGCCTTCTATGACCCCAAAACAAGATCCATGAGAGCAAATCCATTTGCCGATGCCAAATCTAACCCAAATGAGTATTACATCTAATTAATAAATAATTATTTATATGATTTAAATTAGTCCATACGTTTTTTATTTACTATAACTTTTTTTCATTCCTTATAAATTAATCATCTAATTAAAAATATAGGTATTATATAGCTAAATAACTCATTAAATATTTTTAAATCCCTTTATTATTATATATAAGATAACCAAAAAATAATATATGAGTTTTATTAAAACATTATAAATAAATAAAATTTTCCTTATTTAGATATAATATAAAACTATACAATCATAAAATAAGAAAGAACATTGATAATATTAATATCAGATTGGATTAGTTTTTTATAACGATTGGTGTTCAATTTTCAATTAAATTGTTAGTATTAGTTCCAATCCAATATTAAATATCAGCACTAGAGATTGGCCCAGCTCAAACTGACATGCGGAAATTTTAAGATTTTTTAGATTGGGTCTTAAATATGAAGTAATAATACATATTTTAGTCTAATTTTAAACAAAATAATGACCTGACCCTAAAATATTCTGCAAGCTACCTTTTAATAGGGCTCTGCTGATCCACAAATGTTCACCAATCCTATATTACTACAAAACCGACTGATAATTGATTTTATTTACCATCCATATTTGAATAAATACTATAAAATTAATATTTTTTATTCAAAAAAAACTTTCACAAATTATTAAGTATATTTTCTTTCTATTATTCTCAAAAAGTTAATTACCTCATTTAAAATATGGGACACCTCAATTTAGCCTATTTTTAAAAATGGCTATCAAGATTTTAGCCAAAACATAGTACCTAAGCCTCGAAATTTTGACAATAGATGCCCAAACCTTTTTGCTAACTGTAGGCAAAATCACCAAGCTTGGATAATTTATATTTGGCTTAATCTTGAGTTAAAGATATTTTAAAATCATTTTCTAGTTGTAGACATAACAAAAAAAAATTATTTAATTTTTAGTAAGAGTTTACCAATAACACTTTTTGGAGGGCGATCCAAATTTCAATGGATATCAGCTGACCTAGATCCGATATCATACCTGATTGTATTTTATATATATTTAATTTTTAAGTTCTTTATACATATTTAATTTTTTAATGTGTAAAAGTATGCAAAATATTTTTATTAATAAATCATTTATTTATATAGAATTAGACAAATACTAATAAACTTTAAATTAATATATTGATGATATTTTTTCAGAAATCAAAATTTCTAGTTTATCTGAGGTCAGCCACTTCCATGAAGACTTTGATGATACATTTGTGGAAGGTGAATATTGGTTCTTTGAAATAACTTTCAATTTCAAGGGAATAAAGGCAATTTTTGATGGTATTGTTAATTAAATAGACCCTTCATCTGCTTTAACTTCATCAGCATAAGATCCCCATAAAGTAAATATACCAATTGAATTGGGCAGATATTGATGGAATTTCTTCTATGTCAATGATTTTTTATAATACTATATAAATAATAAAACAATATTTGAATAAATTCTGATGTAGACTGTAGAATTAATTTCCTCACAACAGTTGCTGTTAATGCATTGTAGAAGTAATTATCCAAAGTTATTGATAGAAAGTAAATTTTCCCATTGCAAATATAAGAATAATTTATAGTGATTTTTATACAGCAAATTCATAGTCTGGACTCTTTTATCATGCTCACTATGATTATCAAGTTCTTTTTAAGTAATTCTATGATGGGGATAACATACTAATTGATGCATTTTCTCCACTAATTTCTTTTATAATGCACTGAATTGATAATAAAATCACCTAATTTTTTTTTAAAATAACCAAGACGTTTTATTTGTATCAGCAAAGCTTTATATTTTCAGTTGATAACCGATATTTTTAAAATGATATCAGTACATCTCTAATTTATAGCTTCTATATATTTTAAAATATTCAATTTTTTAAACATTACAAATAAATTGAATTTTGATTCCTTTTATGAATTATATTATTATAAAATTATGTATAAAATAAAAGATATTTATTATATAATTATATATACAATCATAATATAAAAAACAATGATAATATCGAATCGGTTTTTTCAAAATATAGGCCCAATCCGATATTAAATATCGGAACAGCCCTACTTTTTATTCTACATGAAAGAAAAATTTTAGACTATTTTTTATATATCCTAGTCTATAAAATACATGTAAAAAACATGGCTAAAAATAAAAAATATATTCAGTATTTTTTTATTGCATTTTAATAATAAAATTATCCTCAAGTCTAGAACGGTGATCAGGAAGTATAAGTTTTGCCTTACCAAATAATCGCTCATAGCACTTGAGGGCAATGTGGTATTTATTTCTAAACTTTTTATTTAAGAAAAACAATTATCCCGGTGACATGACGCAGCGAGGATCGGAAAATCATGTTTTTAGATTTAAAAAATGTGTTAAAAGGATTTATTAACTATTGTATATTTTCGTTCAATATTTTGGTCAACCTCCAATAGCCTATTTAGCCGCTCTGGCTTATATAAGATTAGAGCAGAAAGACTTTATTTTATCTTAATAACTTAACAACCTTCAGATGTAAGAGACATCTGATAGATCTAAAAGGTTCTGATTTCTTGAAAATTATCCAAATTCTTGCTATCACTTTTGCATTAAAGTTCTCTTGGTACCAAGAGATAATGTAATCAGAGGGAGAAATAAGGAATTTTGACAAAAGAAATTGGCTAAGCGTTATCAATCATATAATTAAATTATAACCTTATCAGCTAATTTTTAAGAAGCACCTGGTTCTGATGTTGTTGAATTAATCAACTTACTTTGAATTATTTATTGGGTGTAGTCTCTTCTAGTGTACCAAAATGATCAAGATATTTTTCAATTTTTCTAAAATTTTAGGTGTATACATTCTAAATGTAAAACCATAGAAAATAATTTTAATTAAAATTTATGAATAATATATTTTGATATGTTGAAGCAGTTGATTTATTGGATGATATTTTATACATCTAAATTTAAATCTTGAATTAATATTTTTTATTAAGTTTAAAATTATTTAAATTTCAAAATTTATATTTAAAGATTATAACATTAAAATTATAAATAAATTTTAGTTTTTTTATAGTATATATATTTATTAAATATTTTGGAGTAGCGAAGCAGCACACTATTTAGCTACTCTCTAAAAGGGAACGTGCTATCACTATTATTTTTTAAAGTAGGACGCTATAAAGCTCTGCTACTATAAAAATAGTCACACTACTTTAACAACTGCTTAACTGTAACTAGTTACTTTTCAAAAGTAATCTTGACAACACATATTATTTCTTAATAATAAAAAAGGAATCAGAATTAAATTTATATTGTCATGTTTTAAAAAAAATCTAATTTTTCTATAAAATAAGTAGCTAAAAAATATAGTTTTTGGTGGGATATAAAATATACTTAACGAACCACAATCAGCCATAAACATTGTTCAATATATTAAATGCGATTATTGACCTTTGAGGAATTTAATAAACAAGTATACTTATCTGTGATGATGCTTCAAATATCACCTTGGCTACAAGAAACGGAAAATTTAAAGTTGTTTCTTTTCTTACCCGTAGCTTATAGTTAGTAAATAAAAATCAATCAGAATATCAGTTTGGTTATGGGATAGGTTTGTGTAAGAATATTAGAAATGAATTGGGTCCGATTTAGGAAGAATTTATTGGTCAGCACATCCTTATACATTTTGATCTTGGGCTTAAAATAATAGTTGTCATTTAAAAAGAACCTTTTAGCAACCTTAGCATTATTTATGATAAGGACATATTTATATATGTTCTTATAATAACCCGATTGCTTATTTTTTGCCTCTCTAAATTTAATTTAAATTGCATAATGATTTTTTATTTAAATAAAGATTGAAATATGCTGGAGATAATTTCATAAGGTATACCGGTGATACACCTAACATTGCCAAACAACAATGTAAGTTAAAAATTATTTGTATAATTCTCACTTTCTTAAAAATTTTTTTCTTATAGTTTAATGTTTTAAAAGTATTGTTGATAGTTAGACCTCTGCATTGCAGGCTCACGAAGTTGAGTATAACCATTTGACAGGCTCGCTGCCAATTTTTAATTTGGGTTTTTTTTGGAGGATGATAAAAAATTTATAATTTTATTATAGGGTTGGACACAGAAAACTCTTATAATAATGATGAAACCAAGTGTGCCCAAAGAAATTATATAAAAATACATTGATTTATAAATTAATTTCATTTATTAAAAAATTTAAAATATGCCACTGCACCACCAATTTATTAGGTGGTGGCGAATTTGGCATGCTTACAGCAACACGTGAAAAATAAAATAAATCGCTCTCCTATTTATATTTTTGGGCAGATGTTTATTGATAATAAATATTTATAAATATGCCCTGTGTTCTTTATTGTAATCAGAGACCTTCTGGCCTCTGAAATTCTTTATTTTTAAATACAAACCATGGACTTTGCCTAAAAATATTTTAAGAAAATAGACCTGAGCCCAACCTAATTTATAAAATAAAAATTTAAATTATATCAATTAATCAATTGGAAAATCATATAATGGATCATTTAACAATCATTTGCTTCTCATATTTTCAAATTATTTTTGGAACAATTTTGCAATCAAAATTATCTCAAATAACTAAACCCTTTAAATCCCCGGTTCTGACTAGAAACATTAATTTTTTAAATATGTGCTAGGAGGATTTGCAAAATTTTTAGACCTGCAGCCTATTGGTCTCTGTTAATTCTATGAATTAGTTTTTTTAAGTAGTGGTCTGCAATGGGCGGGATATTTAACATTTTTAAGAAAAAGTTGACAAACCCACCCATCCATGGGTTATTTTAAATCACCCTCCCACCCATTTATCTACGAAATTTTTAATGCCCGCGCAATGTATATTTGATTGGTTGATCTTGATTTGGTTTTTATTTATTTTAGCATATTTTTTAAATAAACACTCATTTTACTCGAAAAATATCGCAAATTTTTCAGAACCGCTCATTCTATAACTACATTTTTAACCAAATCTCTAGCCCGTCTAATGTATAAATTTTTTTAACCCTATGGGTTGGCATGGATGAGCTTTAGATTTACAACTTAAGAAATACTTTGATTCATAAAATGAGGGATTGACCCCCCCCCCATAATACTAATTTTTTTAAAGATATTTTTGTTTGTCATAAAGTAGTTTGATTTAAAATTAGAAAAACCAAAACGCGATCACCAATGAGTCTGACTGATCTGAGTTAATTAATGATCACTTTCATTACCATCATATCATAATAAATTATTTTTTAAATTTAGACTTTTCCCATGTTATATCTTATAATTTTGATTTAAAAAATAAATAGTATTTGCCTGGGAAGCCATAGACAAAGGTATAGATGTTAATCAACAGTCTGAGCCTACAAAATTGGAATTGCTCTATCGGGAATTTAAAGAGAAGCGTGAGGAATTGAAAGGTGATTTACGAAATACTCTTTATGATAAGTATGGTAGGCAGGAAGACTTCGAGGCGCCCCCCGTTCAATTGTTGCTAGCGCAAAACGTAATTTGATAAGTTATTTATAATATAACTTTAATAAATTAGTGACATCACTCACATTCATGGGAAGATATTTTTGGGCTATTTTATTGGTAATATGGAACCAAGATTTTTTTCGTTCCGGTCCATTCCAATTTCCTTTAATTTAAAAAATATTTCATTGTATGTTTGCTAAGGTTGGCATAATTAAATCAATTATTTTTTTGAATAAAAATCATAATTTAAATTTTTTTTGACTTGTGTTTTAAATAATTATTAGTCTTTTGTTTTCAAATAAAATTTTTGGTATATAAGTTTTAATTAATTACTATTTTATAAATGGTTTTTTGATGTACTAATCCTAAAATTATTTTTTGGTTTAATAAACTTATACATCTTAATATTAATAAAATGTAAAGACATACTAAAAATTCCTATAATTATTTTGTCCTGTTTAATTAATATTAATTCAATATTTTGTTAATGCGAAATTTAATTCAGATGCAGCTTAACAATATTAATTCTAGTTTATATAAAAAAAACTATAATTTTAAAATAGTCAATATTGTTAACAATTTTCCAATAAGACTTTATCACTTGTTTTTCAATAAAGTTTTAAATTTTTTTTATGTTTTGGACGCAGGATGAACAAAATAATATTCAATGTTAAATAAATGAAAAGAATTATATTCAAAAAATACCACAAGATTGATTATATGATTTTTTATAATTATCAACTGATAAAACTATAACTGGTCACTTTACGAAGGCAGTAATCTTTGAAGGTTTTATATTACTTTTTTTCATAAAATTTTTTTATAGTGTTTCTTATTTAATATTTTAAAAATTTTTTCACTTTAGTTGCTAATCGGCATATTTTGTTTTAATATATAAAAAGTGAAAAATTGAAATCTTATAAATAATAATAATTTTATAGTTTAATTTATTATTAAATAAATAACTAAAATGATATTTGATTGTTATTGAAGGAATCCTACATAGAATACTCACGAACGGGGCAGGTTGTTAAGGGGCAAGAACGGGCGAAACTCAAATCTAAATATGAGGAAGATGTTTACATTCAAAATCATACGGTATAGTTTTTTTTTAACATTAATAAAGAAGAAATTCAATTTCTCATAATTTAAGTTATTTTAAATTAGCCAAAATAATGGTTATAAGCAGGGATCCAAACCGAAACGAATATCGGTTCGGGTTCAGTTCGTAAAAAATTAAAATATCGGTTCGGTTCGAACCTCTAAATACCCTACATTCGAATTATGTAGAGGGGAAATTTTTTTTTATTTTATCAAATTTAAAAAACATGCATAAAACCTTCATTTTTATTAATTGTACATTATAAAATAATATTTAATTTATAAATATAAAAATAAAAATCAATAATTAATTTTAATATGAACAATATTTGACTTTTTTTACTTAAATTTTTTTTATTAAGCCGGATAATTAATACATTTTTAAAATTAGTCTCACTCATCTATAAAGAGATAGTATAAATTTAATAATTGAAAAACATCTTTCCACACTAACTTGAGCCGACACTGCCAATATGATATCAGATTAGATGTGTCATTTATAATATTTTGGATTTAATTTTTCTCTAAGCATTATAATTTATAAGCTTAAAGTATTTAAAAAATGTTGTAAAATGACAATATACTAAAGTTTATAAAAATTATGATCGACGCTTATCAATCAAATGGGATTGATGCTAATTTTAAAATAATTCAAATAAAATTGAAATTTTTTCAATATACTAATAATAACTTACATATTATTTTATAAGAATAAGTTTATAAAAATTATGATCGACGCTTATCAATCAAATGGGATTGATGCTAATTTTAAAATAATTCAAATAAAATTGAAATTTTTTCAATATACTAATAATAACTTACATATTATTTTATAAGAATAAAATCATGAGGGTTCAGAAGCATTTTAGCGGTTCGGTTTAGGTTCAGCTAGAATTTTTTTAGCGGTTTAGGTTCGGTTCAGGTTCGATAAAAAATACCGGTTTTTAGCGGTTTAACGGTTCGGTCCAGATTCGGTTTGGATCCCTGGTTATAAGTAGCAAACATATCAATTGGCCCCCTTATTTATACTTATTTTAAGCAAGTAAGGTTTTCTGGATCTCACCAAATAATAAGTGAATTTATTACAATTTGTCCAAAATTTTGTAAACAACCTATCTATATTTTAATTGATAATTTTTTTTCCACCATCATTTTAGTCTGTATGGGGATCTTTTTGGTATCAACAATGTTGGGGTTACAAATGCTGTAATTCATTCGTTAAACAATCTTATTGCATGGGGGAAAAAGGATTACAATTATTCAAAGTAAATATTGTCGAATAAAAATGTTTGTTCAGTTTGTTATTACTCATTATAATAATGTTAAAATTGGATTTTAAAAATGCTATCAAAAATATTATTATTAAAAATGTACTAAACTGGGTTTTTTCTATATTTAGACTCGACCGCTTATGGCAAAATGGTCGGTTTTTTTGCCGGTGTTCTTTTTAAAAAAAATATATATTTATTAATATTTACTCCTTGTCTCTAATTTAAATCTGAAACTTAATCAACGAAGTACTTATACCAAGTTACAACATTAAATTTTTTTAATGGTAAGAATGAGATTCTGAATCTCTTTTATAAATCATTTATTGACGGACGATTTTTATCATGCTATTTTTTACAGGAAATAAATTTTGGCATGTATAGAATACCTACTGCATACATTTTTTTATTATTTAATTTATATCAAAAATCTTATGATATAAAAAATTAAAGATGAAACCTCAAACAAACGTTGTTTTTCCTATTTTTTATTGCTATTACGATCCTTATGGATATACCTTGTCAGCATTTTATTGCAAATTTTTTATCATTAAAATTAGGAGTCTACCGATACCAATTTTTGGAAGCCGATTTGATATTGCTGATATCTAGATATCGGCCAATTACCAATTTAATAACATTCATTTGATTTTATTTATACATATTTATTATATTTTTATTTTCAAAAATATACTATATCGAATTTAAATTATATTTTAAGCTAGACTTATTTATATATTCATCAAAGAAAAATATGTAAACATTGATAAATCATCTATTTATATAGTAAAATCGTTGTAATCTTTTTTTGTTCCAAAAGTCTTTCTATTGTGTATCAAGTTTATCATGATCAATATAAAGTGTATTTTTTTAAAATTATTTATTAAGTTTATAAATCATAAAATTCTATCAATTTAAAAATTTAATTAGACGCCATTTAATCAGATCTAATCGGTAAATTTAATAATCAGCCGCTAACCGATATTTTAAAAGAGACGAAAAATCGGCCGATCCAATAAAAGATATCTATATCTTACAATCATCTATACCAAAACTTATTTCAAATTTTTTATTATCGCAATCAAATTATAATTTGCTCATTCATTTTGTTAAAAAAAATTCGGATATGACTTTTTTAATTTTAATTTAAAAACGATTGCAATTTATAAAATAAGGTACCATATGCATTAAAATAAAATACATCTAAAAAAATGAAAATTTTATAATAAAAAATGTTAAAATACGCGAAAAGGTGCCTCTAGGTAATGACACCGTTGATTCATATATTATGTGACCTACATATTTCAATTGAAATTCGTTGACGCCTTTCCGAGGATAACCCGAAATTAAAAGCCGGCTCTGGTTCCAAAAGCACCGATTGTATCAGAAACATCGGGGATTAAAGTGATATTAGGAATGTTAATATATTTATTTATTTTTATAATTTCCGCGCTTACCAAAGAGGAGCTAAAGGATAGTGCAAAACGATCAACGCATGTATAATCCTGGCATAGCGGGATACCGTCCATGGAATGAGTGTCTTATGTTGTCTCAGAAATTAGGGGTCCTACGGGTTCCGACGTTGATGGAACATTGGTTGGGCGGACAGTTCTAACAATATAATTTACTGCTTGGTGGCTTGAATGGCGGCCTTAAGCGACAATGAAGAGGATGATAGCCTAAGTAGGCAGGGAGTGAACAGAATTTGCAAGATAAGGTTGACGATATCATAGCCTAAACCAAGGCTTGTTCCCATCGAATTCTTCTTTGAAAAGAAGCAAACCAAGGTTAGAGCTAGGAATAGCCTTGAGCCATTTATAACCTAAATTTAATTGTTGATGGGGAATTTATACTTTGATTTATTGGGGAGGTGATATCTTGGTTAGATCGAGAAAAGACCCTTCATTCATCGCTCGAGTAAAACGATTCAACTTAATCCTGGATTAAAGGTAATTCCCAGTCTTGCTGTTTGGAGTAAAGACAAGGGAGAATTTGAGACGTTTGACCTCCATGGGTCCGGGGCCAACCTCAGTTGGGTATGTGGTGATAAATAATGTTAATAATTGGTTGACTTTTGGTGACAAGAGAAAAGCTGCAAATTTCAGTGAGTCAGGAATTTTATTTTTTAATAATTATTTTTTTAATGGCTAAAATTTGTTATACTGATTTAAAGCTTATTTTTTTTATCCCCTTTTTTATATGTGAAAACAAAATTTTTTTTTTTTGTTTTTTAAGTTTTTTTTCTCGTTTTTTAAATCCATAATTGAAAATAAAAATTAGTTTAAAAGTTTACTGCAGAATTTTCTGAAGATTTGCAGGATAGGGACTCTATACATGCTGGGATTCACTTTCGGTAAAATCAAATTTCTAAAATTAAAAAATCGAACTCCCTAAATAGTAGTGTTGTTAAAACGCCGCGAGTCGCGACCCCGACCCAAAGCTCGGGTCGTTTTAGACTCCGACTCAATGTTTGGGTCGTTTTTTTCGACTTCGACCCGAGTTCAAGCCGAAAAAAACGACTTCGACCCAAAATATGGGTCGTTTTTTTCGACTCCGACCCAAGTCCAAGCCGAAAAAAACGACCTCGACCCAAAATATGGGTCGTTTTTTACGACTCCGACTCAAAATTTGGGTCGTATTTTTCGACTCAAACTTGAAATTTGGGTCGTATTTTTCGACTTAAACTTGAAGTTTGGGTCATATTTTTCGACTCAAACTTGTAGTTTGGGTCGTATTTTTCGACTCCAACTCAAAGTTTGGGTCGTTTTTCTGACTCAGACTCAAACATCGTGTCGTTTTATTCAATCGACCCAAAATATGGATCTTTCTTTTTAAAGACGACTTAAAGTTAGGGTTGCTTTTTTTCACCCCTAACCCAATATCTAGATCATTTTTTTCGACCAAAAGTCAAATAACATTATATTAATATTATAGGCGGGAAAGTTATTTAAAGCTTCTTTAAAATAATGCTCTGATTAACTATTCATCATAGTTATATTTAAAAATTTTTAAGTGATGTACCATAGAAAAGTGCCATTTGTCATGATAATTATTTTTGAGCTTTTTTAAATGAAATAGATAAAAATATATATTTTAGACATGTTAAATCAAAATTTCAGTGATGATGTACCATAGATAAGTGGTAATTGTCATAATCGCTATTTTTGAACTTTTTTGAGTTTTTTTAAAGCAAATTGCTAAAAATATATATTCTAAACATGTTAATTAAAAATTCAGTGAGGATGTATCATAGATAGGTGACAATTGTCATAATCGCTATTTTTGAACTTTTTTCAATTTTTTTAAAGGAAATAGCAAAAAATATATATTCTAACCATGTTAAATTAAAAATTCAGTGAGGATGTATCATAGATATGTGACAATTGTCATAATCGCTATTTTTGAACTTTTTCAAATTTTTTTAAAGGAAACATCTTAAAATATATATTCTAAACATGTTAAATTTAAAATTCAGTGAGGATGTATCATATATAGGTGACAATTGTCATAATCGCTATTTTTGAACTTTTTAAAATTTTTTTAAAGGAAATATCTAAAAATATATATTCTTAACATGTTAAATTAAAAATTCAGTGAGGATGTATCATAGATAGGTGACAATTGTCATAATCGCTATTTTTGAATTTTTTCAAATTTTTTTAAAGGAAATAGCTAAAAATATATATTCTAAACATGTTAAATTAAAATTTCAGTGAGGATGTATCATAGATAGGTGACAATTGTCATAATCGCTATTTTTAAACTTTTTCAAATTTTTTTAAAGGAAATATCTAAAAATATATATTCTAAACATGTTAAATTAAAAATTCAGTGAGGATGTATCATAGATAGGTGACAATTGTCATAATCGCTATTTTTGAACTTTTTCAAATTTTTTTAAAGGAAATAGCTAAAAATATATATTGTAAAGATGTTAAAATAAAATTTCAGTGAAGATGTACCATAGAAAAGTGACAATTGTCATAATCGCTATTTTTGAACTTTTTTCAATTATTTTAAAGGAAATAGCAAAAAATATATATTCTAAAAATGTTAAATTAAAAATTCAGTGAGGATGTATCATAGATATGTGACAATTGTCATAATCGTTATTTTTGAACTTTTTCAAATTTTTTTAAAGGAAACATCTTAAAATATATATTCTAAACATATTAAATTTAAAATTCAGTGAGGATGTATCATAGATAGGTGACTTTAACATGTTTAGAATATATATTTTTAGCTATCTCCTTTAAAAAAATTGAAAAAAGTTCAAAAATAGCGATTATGACAATTGTCACCTATCTATGATACATCCTCACTGAATTTTAAATTTAACATGTTTAGAATATATATCTTTAGATATTTCCTTTAAAAAAGTTCAAAAATAGCGATTATGACAATTGTCACCTATCTATGAAACATCCTCACTGAAATTTTAATTTAACATGTTTAGAATATATATTTTTAGCTATTTCCTTTAAAAAATTTGAAAAAGTTCAAAAATAGCGATTTTGACAATTGTCACCTATCTATGATACATCCTCACTGAATTTTTAATTTAACATGTTTAGAATATATATTTTTAGATATTTCCTTTAAAAAAATTTCAAAAATAGCGATTATGACAATTGTCACCTATATATGATACATCCTCACTGAATTTTTAATATAACATGTTTAGAATATATATTTTTAGCTATTTGCTTTAAAAAAATTGAAAAAAGTTCAAAAATATTGATTATGACAATTGTCACCTATCTATGATACATCCTCACTGAATTTTTAATTTAACATGTTTAGAATATATATTTTTAGATATTTCCTTTAAAAAAATTTAAAAAAGTTCAAAAATAGCGATTATGACAATTGTCACCTATCTATGATATATCCTCACTGAATTTTTAATTTAACCTGTTTAGAATATATATTTTTAGCTATTTCCTTTAAAAAAATTTGAAAAAGTTCAAAAATAGCGTATATGACAATTGTCACCTATCTATGATACATCCTCACTGAATTTTTAATTTAACATGTTTAGAATATATATTTTTAGATATTTCCTTTAAAAAAATTTGAAAAAGTTAAAAAATAGCGATTATGACAATTGTCACCTATCTATGATACATCCTCACTGAATTTTTAATTTAACATGTTTAGAATATATATTTTTAGCAATTTGCTTTAAAAATACTCAAAAAAGTTCAAAAATAGCGATTATGACAATTACCACTTATCTATGGTACATCATCACTGAAATTTAGATTTAACATGTCTACAATATATATTTTTATCTATTTCATTTAAAAAAGTTCAAAAATAATTATCATGACAAATGGCACCTTTCTATGGTACATCACTTAAAAATTTTAAAATATAACTATGATGAATAGTTAACCAGAGCATTATAATTTAAAGAAGCTTTAAGTAACTTTCCCGCCTATAATATTAATATATACTAAATGTTATTTGACTTTTGGTCGAAAAAAATGATCTAGATAATTGGGTTAGGGGTGAAAAAAAGCAACCCTAACTTTAAGTCGCCTTTAAAAAAAAGATCCATATTTTGGGTCGGATTGAATAAAACGACCCGATGTTTGAGTCTGAGTCAGAAAAACGACCCAAACTTTGAGTTGGAGTCGAAAAATACGACCCAAACTTCAAATTTGAGTCGAAAAATACGACCCAAACTTCAAGTTTTAGTCGAGAAATACGACCCAAACTTCAAGTTTGAGTCGAAAAATATGACCCAAACTTCAAGTTTAAGTCGAAAAATACGACCCAAATTTCAAGTTTGAGTCGAAAAATACGACCCAAATTTTGAGTCGGAGTCGTAAAAAACGACCCATATTTTGGGTCGAGGTCGTTTTTTTCGGCTTGAACTCTGGTCGAAGTCGTAAAAAACGACCAAAACTTTGAGTTGGAGTCGAAAAAACGACCCAAAATTTGGGTGAGCTCTGTTCGAGCCGACTCGGCTAAGCCGATTAACAACACTACTAAATAGTTTAAAGTTGAGAATTCCAAATCACCACAGAAGGATTCCAGTGTAGTCGTCATTCTAGATTAACTCACAACATATCGTCAGCTATGAATTATAATGTTCTATATCCAATTTTTTAAAAAAATATTGTATTTTAGATTAAGAGATCACAGGGAAATAATGATTATTTTAAAATTATATTTTAAACATTTTTATTGATAACACAGTATTGAAGGAATGAGTTATTAAAAAAAAGTGAATATAGAACACTATAATACTCAGCCGATGATATATATTATATTGTAAATAGAAAATTAATAGTTGATCATTACAAATTATATTTAAAATATTGAATACTGTCGATTTTTTTTAAGATCTCTAATAATTGTATTAAAATCTAATCTCAAAAAAATTAATTAATTTTTTATTACCCTATTTATTTTTAAAACGAATTAAATAATCATTCATATTTTTTGTTAAATAGGAAAGATTGGAAAATGAAGCCGATGAAAATCAAACTCAGAACGAATTTGAAAATCGAACCTCTAAAAGGATAAAAATAACATGACATCGATTTTTTACTCCGATTATTACATACTTCAATATTTATATTATTTTATTATTAATGTGAACATTTCTTAATGTATTTATTTAATAATATTATTTATTGATCGATATAAATTAAATTATTATTCTTATAACATATTAAAAAAGATTATTATGTTCAAATATTTATTCCAAAAATTACATTAGAGTTAGGTGGGGGGGCTCAGTTTTGGTCTTATTTTTTAATTTAAAAAATATCCTTTTATATTTCTAAATCAATTGAAGTTTAACTATTAATGTAAAGGTTTACAATAAATTTGCTTGATATGAATTTAAAAAAAAAAAATAATATCTAAGAATGTAAAAAAATTTGGATGTGTATTCTATTTTTAAAAATTTAATTTTTTTCCCAAACTCTACTATATAAATACATTTTTACTAACAATTTTTAAAAATTATTTATGGTATTTAGAAATGAAAAGTGTCCCACATCCTATTCAATTCAATTATTAACATTTAAAAAAATAATACCGGCCTTATTTTATTTGATTATATATTTTTAAAATGTTAAAAAAGACAATTATACTTTAATTCATAATATTATATATATTACAAAAAAATGTTTATAATTTATATATAAAGTAAAGGCTCATGAACAGGGTTGCCAGGTCAAAATTTTCAAATTGTGGGAGAAATTCGGTATTTTGTGGGAGTAATATAAAAATTATGGGAGAAATATAAAAATTGCTAACCGGGATTTAGAATTGACTTAGTTATCAGCTTATTATTTTTTATAAATATAAAATCGAATCTATTTTCCAAAATAAAATAGGTAATTATTTTTCAAAATAAAATAGCCAACTATTTTTCAAAATAAAATAGCCAACTATTTTTCAATTTTCAAAATAGGTAATTATAGTACGACACAAAATTTCTTAAATACTATCTTTATTATTAAAATAACATTGATTTATTATAATAAACTAATTTTGTTTAAAAATAATAACCAACGATCTTTTTTAAATACAAAAGAATGTAAACAAGATAAAATTTTATAAAAAAATTGTAATTTTACAATGTAAAAAAATATATTTTATGCTAATGTATAAATAAGATTTTATAAAAAAACAAACAATTTTAAATTTACAATGTAAAAAATAATTATAATCAGTGCGGGGAAGTTGTTCTACAGTATTTAGTTAATACAATGGGGGAAGGGAATTATGATATTTTGAGGCATCAAAAATCTTCAAAGCATAAATCAGTACAGGGCAGTTTATCAACATCTATTGCAAAACAAAAATATTCTTCAAAAATAAGAAATAATACAGATGCAATTACAGTTGCGGAAATGGTAAATATCTTTCATGCAGTACAACATTCAGAGAGCTACTTAATATCACAATGTTGGTAGAATCTTTCCCGATAATATTTAACGACTAATATAAATGAAAAGTATACTTTGTAGAACACAAATGAGCAAGGTTATCATCAATGTTTTAGGATATAAATCCAGAAGGTCAATTCTTGACGATTTGAAAGATGTGCAAACATATGCAATTCTAACAGATGCATCTAATAAGGAGATATCAAAACATTTCCCTTGATCCTCCCCTATTTCAACAAAATTAATGTCATTTCAATAAAACTATTAAAAAATTTTTCTCCAGATATGAAATATCCAAAGACATAGCTAACCATATATAATGGTAAATATGGCAGATTTGGCATTACCAATGTATTGCATGGCAGCTTTCTGATCTGATAATTCCTCAGTGAATTTGGCAAAAACCAGAGTGTATTTACAGAATTGAGTCAGCATAATGTTGGTTGACAGGTTCCTCCTAATACGCGCCATCGTAGAATTTTAAAATTTTACAAACCTTTAAAAAATAAATAGATTATAAAAGCTGTCCTAATATTTTGAAAAAAATTTTCAAAAATAAATTGCAGAAGTTTATTTAGGAATTTTACATATAGGAAATCTACTATATACTGTTAATATGCAGTTGCAATCAGAAGAATATAATTTAATAAAGGTTCACTAAATTATGCTGCAGAAATACCAAAGTATCGGATAATTATTAAGATTTAATATGATGTCATGTTTGAGGAGATTGTAATGCTTCTTTATTTTTATGATTTGCCAAAATATTCAAAATATTAATTTTACAATGTAAAAAATAAATTTATTTGATTTTATGCAAATGTATAAATAAGATTTTATAAAATATAGAAAGTCAAATAGTTATAGTTAATTATATTTTATTTGAGATTTAAATAATGGAACTAAAAGTTTACCGTCGTTATTAAGATATTTATAAAATTCCTGGCATGACATTTATTAATTTTGTTTAACCATTAACTCAGCCTCTAATGTTGTTAAAGCAATTCGATTTCTCTCCTTTCTCCAGGCAGTCCTCATCAGGCTAAAAATGCGCTCCGATGAGGCATTAGAATGAGGTAAGGAGAAAACATACTCGCAAATTTTTTCCAAGCATGGGGATTTATCGTTATTACGAAAAAATTCCACCCATTTCTCCTCTGCTTTTAGACCATCTAATATTCTGGCGAATCATAAAAAATGGAAAAAATTACAATCTCTTCAAACAAGGCTTCAATATCTATCGGTAATTTTAATATCTGTTCCAAGGTCATAATATTTATACACTTGTAAATAGAGTTATTAAAATCAAATCTTGATTGTAAATATTCCAAAATTGTCTTAATAAAAATATTTGCTTCATTTAAAAATACGTTAATTATAGTAATATTTGAACATTTTAATATGATATTTTTAGCAATAGCGCCATAAAATTTATTATCTATTTTTAACTGTAGAGATGAACAGAGCTGTAGCATGATTTTGTGAATCTTTATCAATAAAGAATCTTCTGATTGCAACTGAATATTAACTACATGAAGTAGATTTCCTTCATGGGAAACTAATCCCAAATATGCTTCTGACATTTCATCCTCGAAATTTTTTTTTAGCAAAATAGAACATTTTATTACTTAAATCTGTTTGGTATATGGGATATAATATCCACTTCTAAAAGTTCTATTCTTCTAATACAAAAATTTTGAAAATGTCGAGTGGAGCACTGCAATTCTAGATAACGATATAAAATATATTAAGTAATTTAAAATATATTTATAATAATTATACATACTGTTCTAACTTCTATTCTTTTTAACACAAAAATTTTGAAAATGTCGAGTGGAGAATTGGAGAATTTTATAAAAAATATATTTTAGAGCGAATAAAATAAAAGAAGAAGAACTAGACATATTATATTTAAAATTTATTTTAAAAATATAAAAATAATCAAATACTGTCTCTCAAAATTATTATTTATATATTAAAAACATTAAAATGCTAAAAAAAAATTGTGGGAGAAATTAAAAAATTGTGGGAGCTTTTTGTGGGAGATTTCTAATTGTGGGAGTTTTGTGGGAGTGAGATGTATGTGGGTAAACAAAAAAATTGTGGGAGACTCCCACTGATGGGGGGAGACATGGCAACCCTGCTCATGAATGCTATCATTGAAACTTAACTTTTTAGCCTTATTGATTCCGGGTTTTCTTGCTTAGTTACCAAATCTAATTTTTTGCAGAAACAAGGGAATTGTCAAAAGTTATAAATATAGTGGAAATTATAGGGATAAAATTATGCTAAATTTCTGAACATTTAGAAATTTTTAATTGTTCATTATGTTAAATTGAATTTTGTAGTGGTCGCTTTAGCCCGCTACTTTAAAAAAAAATAGCAATACCTCACTACTAATGCTCTACTTCGCTACTTTCAACTTTATATAATAAATGCACATGAAAATTATTAAAATATAATTATAATTAATTCTAAAATCGTAAAGTTTTTATTTATATTTTAACTGTATTATAAATCTAGTTTTCAAAATAATTTAAAATGTCCACGATAAAGCTTGATATTAAAGATAATTTTGTTTACAGATCATATCAACAAAGTAATTTCCCTGGAAAATGATGATAATATGGATTTCATTTTCCTTGTAAAAAAAGATTGATAAATTTCATTGTAGGATGTGCCGGAAGGTTTTATCATCAAACAAGACTAGTGCGCAGCCCATATTTTAATCTTTAAAATTTTGAATCAAAACTGTATCTATAATAGTTTATAAGCTAGGTGTTTATTTGAAAGTTAATTTTCTGGGCGAGTCTAAACCAATGAATCATATGGTTTGTTTAAACTGGCCATAAGATATTTAAGAATAATATAAATTAAAAATTATATTAAAGTTTCATTTTATCATCAGAGTCACATATAATGTTATTTTATAAATTTATGGTAACATGTTCAAAATCAACCATTCATCTTTTTATATAAATAAAAAAATTTAAAAAAACATGCTAAAAAAATATTTATTTCAATCCTTTCGCATTTTAACCAATTTTGAGAGGAATTGGTTCAATAGATAAAAAGTCAAAGGATGTTGGCCATCCAATTATCCCTTGCACAAATTTTATTCGAAATATTACTTATTATAAATATAGACTGACTAGCAAGATCAAAAACGCCGCCCACTATAGATGATTTTTTTGAAATAAATAATACTAATTTTTAAATCTAAAAATACCCAAATGAATGTTTTTGACGATTTCTTTTATATAAAAATTTTTCTTTTTTCTCTCTAGCTTTCACCTTTTCTGGTGGTAAGAACCTTCAACATCTCCTCCACTCTATGTTATTTATACTATCTCTTTTATCTAATTTATACTTCTTTATAAGGCTCTAACTTTATGGCCCCATTGAAGTTTTGGCCTTACTCTTTTACGTTTGCCCATAACTTACAAACTCTCAACCTTATTTCCTATGTAGTTCATAGGCCTTCTCATTGTGTGCCCATACCACCTAAGTCTGTTTACCATTAACTTAGTCTTAATGGGCACTACCTTTAAACTACTTAGTATTCTTGTACTGCGCACTTTATTCTTTCTTGTTACCCCAGCAATCATCCTCAGCATTCTCATCTCCATAGTTTGTAGACTTCTCTCACCTGATTCTTTGGTTGGCCATGTTTCCGAACTATATAGAATAGTTGGTTGTACTATGGAACTGTAAATTTT